AGCGGAGTCCTTTTGCTCTTAGGACCGTCTTTAACAGACAGCTTTTCCTGTAGACAGCTTGGAAGACATTAGATTCATGGAATGTGTCCCTAGTAAAAGATGTGCAGGCGGAGAGTTAAAATTTGCTAGCTATAAGGTATCCTGCAAGCGTTACCTTCAGCTTCGCCACGTTAAGCTAGCATCACATAGCCGGCATGATTGGGAGTGCGCGCGTTATAGAAGATTTTGTAACACTCTATGTGCCTTATTCAGTCCAAGGAAAACAAGCAGTAGACGCCAGAGCTATCGTGCATAAGTGAGAAGACAGTTTCCTTTGACATGTAAAAAAGATAAGAATGGTCTGTGTTCGAATCTAGGCTCGTTAAGCTCCGACGATCCGTGGGAGATGTTAGGAAGTTTACTTAAACGTCTGCTCGCACGTCGGATGGAAGATGTCTTATATAAATCTTGCCGGTTCAGATTTTGGGCACCAAGGCTCTGTAGCCCTTCTCCACGGCAACGCCACCTCTGTCCCAGAATATCGGTCAGGGATAGATTAACAAGCAGTCGTGTAGCATGGTCTTCACGAGGCTCGCCATCGAGATCTCTGGCCGCTATATAAGGACAGTTTAGCAAGTGTAGAGCTCATCGCTACGCCACCCAAGATGAGGAGAGCGCGAGAGTCGGTATGCTCTCCGCCTAACTTCTCTTTCTGCCCCTAGACACCGCAGCTAGAAGCATCAATAAGCAGACAATTTGATGTGTCAAGCCATTCGCTATCGAAGATAGTACAACGCCTCAGATAGTAGTGGTCGCCTGTAGTCGTTAGCAGTCATGCAAAGATTGAGTTATACGAATCAATAGTTGTGAGAAGTGTGAATAGATTTTCTTAGCTCGCTTCTAAGGGCTTGGGCCGGGGATCGGAGATATGCCTGTGTCTACATCCAGGAGAAAAGTGTATTCCTTCCAGCCAGAGGGCGGTGGATCGCGGCTCGATCATTGCGGCATCGTGGTCAGCGCACGAGATGTCGAGTTGTTGCTGTCTACCAATTCCGGTGTAGACAAGGAGGCGGATACAATACATTTCAAGATTGAAGACTCGTATTCTCGTCGGCCGTGGCCTGAGAAAGTAGTCTGAAGTCTACCTGGTCTCCAAGTCGATTGTTAGCAATTAATTTGGTTGGTAACGATGCTCGAAATTGAGCAGGCCAAAGCGTGTAGCACCTGATTCGGGGAAGAAGATTCATGCATTGCGAGATTCCATTATAGAGCAAAAGGGTACGGGCAGCAGTTTCGATAGAATCACGTAATGTGCTAATATGGGCGAGTTCGTTTGGCTGTGTCAGATGTTGCTTGGGTTTGATATTTGGGAGGCAGAGGAGTGACAATGCCAAGATGGCCTCGATAAGGCTGAGTCTTCTGACCTCACTGCCGAGAATCCAAGCAACATTCGGCCCTAACTTCCATGTTCGCCGCAATCATCGTTGCTATCGTTGCCATCGTCGCTAGCCAACTGAAGAGCCCTCTTATCAACGTGCAGCTGGATCGAATGTCTCGTCCACGGGGACGGCCGCCGTAAGGCTCCGATCGTGATTCTTCATAAGCGAGCTTTTCTACCCGCTAGGAAATCGGGGTGCCCTGGTTTAAACCGAATCCTGGAGTGGCCAAATCGAAGAGTACGAGCACCTGTACTGGAGATGGAGCTTAGAGACGGAGAGCCATGAACGTTAAAGAGGCGAACAAACCGGGAGCGGGAACAGTACACAAGGCTTCTCACATCTGCCATCGCAGCGTTATTTACTATTGTGGACCACCATAAGAGCGAGCCAGACACTTTTCACGCAACCGCAAATACCTCCATGCCGAGCTGAAGGACACCTCTTCCTACGTGAACAGTTCTTCACTAGCGTGCGTCTTCCATTAGAGCTTTCTGCCCTAAAGACGAGAATCACACTTCGCATGGCCGAACTTTACATACGTTTTATCATACGTTACAGCCACATATCGAGCATACTGTCTGGCTACAGAGAGCAAACGTCGTCAAGCCTTTAAAGCCAGCCACTGCTCGTGTCTGTCGTCTTTTTCCACAACTGGCAGGTATTACTAATACAGGACAATCACAATCACGCGACACGCGTGTCATGCCGCCAGCAGCGATCTGACTCTTGGAAGGCTACTGTTTCTAAATCTCCATTACCTGCGCCTTCGGAACCATTCTTGCACCTTCCGCAACTGTCCTCACCTTTCTCGCAATATCAGCACATCTGAGACCCCAATCTCCAATCTCAAACTGTGCTAACAGTCCAGTTAGCGTGACGAAGAACAAACTTATTGACCAGGACTGGGCACAACAGCGAAGAGTCCCAAGTCCCAGTCCTACTCCTTCGCGGTGGTACCTTCTCGGTGTCTAGGGCGACTCTCCGAAGGCGTAATGCAGATTCTACTCGACCGGAGATTCGGAAGCATCTCGCTCCCCGGCTTGACCGTGTTCTTCCAAACCGTGCTGTCCCGGACTCCATTTGGGTCAGTGCTGGATCTCTATTGCCACCGCTTGATCGCATACTTTCATGCTTCCGAGGCCTCTTCCTTCAGGAGTCTGCTAAGAGGGATCCTCTTCGTTACTGCATCCATGAGGGCAATACTGCATGCAGCCATATGGGCCATCCTGCCTCTCGAATATGCTTCATGGCGACCATCTCCATGTAGCCTGGCAAATCTGCCAGACAGAATGCGCATTTCAGATCCGCCACGATCCCAAGACAAACAGGCTCGTGCAGCCAAGTTCAAGCGCACATTCCAACGCCCAGTCAAGTCAAGCGAATTTCGTATCGTCGCAATCGTCCTTTATAGAACGAACGTTAACATCCACAGGTCTTGCTTACCCCTCTTCGTAGGGACGCTAGCGCTTCTTTCAGCTTCCTTCTGTCATTTGTCGGGAATCGGAAACGAGCACATCGTGGGTATTGAAAGCAGATCATGGGGTCCAAGGTAGTCCGCAGCTCTCAACCTTAACCTCGACAATACACGTTCCTACTTACCACGTGCCCAGGTAACGATATAGAAGCCGGCCAAAACGTGGCACTACTAAAGGGTGAAGAGAAGGAGGTGCCATCTCCGTCAGGTAATGCGATACTGGGCAGAACTGAACTTACCCTATTAGGGAGATTCCGCGCAGCCTCCTCCGGTATGGTAGGAACGTAGTTACCACGACATGTACCTCGCCTACGCTGCCACGCCAAGGATACATCGTCGACGTTGGTCACGACCAGTCTGATCTCTGAGCTACATAATGACAGCAAATGGTTCTGGCGCAAGATCGTTCTTCAATGCCAACACTCAAAGCACTGGACCGGGAAACTTCGCGATTGCGTGTACAGAGATGCTTAAGAATCATTTCCAGCAACGTGGGGCGCAAAGAGCCTGTCGATAGAACGAACCACGATTGTTAAGTACTACTCCAACCGGTGGCTTAGCTTCCTTCGCAATCCCAATGACACTGACCAGTCCACAATAATTAACGCAATCAGTCGTCAAGAAGAGGACACCAAGCGAAGGCATTAGAGCTGTATGGGGTAGACAGGACCTTGCGACGTTCTAAGAGATATCAAACGAATATGGGTCATTATGGACGACCCATCGTAGGCGATTGAAGCAAAACCGTCGTCGCTATCATTCACTAATGTAGCACTGACTCGTCCTGGTACTAGAGAGATGGCTGTTCAGCCGTTTACATGCGATGTAGCAACCTGTTCCCATTTGAGCTTCACACCAGAAGGACGAACTGCACTAGGCAGATGTGAGACTTCGACCGAGCCCTAAATGACATCACTCTGCCGCCTTTGCCTGGAAAATTTCCAGACAGGCCCATATCGGACGCGCCATAAGGCAGCTCCCTAATACGGCTGGTCTCATGAACGTAGGTCAGTGCGAGAGGCCTCTCATTCGCTTTAAGGTCTTTCAACGGCATGAGAGAAAACATATCGAGTGCATTATCAGAGTTTCGAGAAGCAGTGCTCTAAAGAACCGAGACGAACGACGCCTCAGATGTGTCGAAAGAGGACTTGAAGACAGCACAAACCTTTGGGCATCCGAGTTCTACGGCCTGAGGCTGAGCCGGAGCCTGGGAGTTGCGGCGGAGGAAGCCACTTGATCTAAGATTGGTGGTCACGAGCAGAGATGCTTCGAACAGCAGTAGAGAGCTAATCGGTCCTCCCGATCACCTATAACAAGAGCTTTAGTAAAACGTTCGGACAAGTCGTTTGTGAGGAGGAGCCTGAAGGGAAACTACAGCTACAGTAAGGGTAGTAGTAGGGAGTCAGAGGTAGCGGCCGTCGAGATCACGCCCCGATGTACGAAGATGCTGTAGTTGGAAGGGAAAGAAGAGCACCTTTTCCTGGCCAACAATGGAGAGCCAAGACGTGGTATGAATTAGAGCGTAGGTCTTGAGTATCCTGGGACAGAGGAGTAGATGTGAGAAAAGTACGAGCCAGGCGAGCTTGAGTCGAAAGCAAGACGAAATAGAAGCTGCATTATATCCTGCAGTGATGAGCGAGACGTCTGAGCTCTGGCGACTCGTTTTCTGGATAAGCGGCTGAATTGATGTTGCAATGATTGTACTTTCGTAAAGAGGATGTGGAATGAGGTGTTATGGGGAACGCTTGGCCAAGAAGGCGACCACTGAAGCACAAGCTTCGCGGTCTTGCGAGGTCCCATGCAATAGGTTCGAAGTGTGATATTCGCCAAGGCGTTGGGAAACATGATAGAGTGGATTGATCACGCAGGAGTCATGTGGGCGTGAGTGAACAGTAAGAAGTGCAGTGATGCGGCTCCTGCCGAAAGCGGGAGTGGCCGTGACCCTGTTCGCACATGTGCTCCGACCGAGCCCTTTCCCTCCAGAAGCCTTTGAGTCAACATACGCCGCACATCAATCTTGTCAGCAACAAATAGCTTCTTCTACGCACCTGCACGACTCAAGGAGTCATCCGCTCGCGCTCGTGTGTTGGCGATGAGTGCGCGCGAACATGGCGCGAAAGAACACGCGACTCTCCAGCGCCAACACCACACCTCCGGCGCCACCGACACCAGCGAAGACGAGAGGAGTAAAGAAGCACAAGAAACCTGCTCCGCCACCACTACTACCCGCCACCGATACCACCACCAGCGCCAACGCCGACGAGGATGAAATCAGCACTTCTCTCCGCGCCCTCCTGTCTCCGCAAGACCCCGCCGACGCCCTCGAGTCCTGCCGCGCGCTGTACCTCCGCCATGGTCGCCCCGCAATCGAATCACATGCTCTCCACCGTGATGTCGCGCAAGCGATGGAAAAAGCATTTGAGAAGATCTATGACGCGCCCGGCATCACAAACAAGGACGTCCGGTCGCAATTGAACTTTCTTCGTGGGAAGAAATGCGAATGGCACCCTGCTCTCACTGGAGTGAAGCTGTATGCTTGGTTTGGAAAAGATGCGGTTGAGAGCCGGAGATTCACAGATGCGCTGAAGGGCTTGGCAAGAATGCGAGGAGATGCTGGGCAAATGCTTGGGTTGGAAGATGCTTTGGGTCTATTAGGCGAAGTGAGAGAGCAGAGAAAGGCTGGCGTGAGAGGGGAGAGAATTGCACAGGCGTCTGAGTGGACTGCCAGTGACTGTTTCGAGGCAGGCAAACTGGCCACGGAAAGATTCGGAGTGGAATTGGTCAAGATTGAGACTCGCAGGCAGTCGCCAAAGCGGAAGAAGGCGACAGGACAGAAGGCTGATGATCATGGACAAGCGGAGAATGAGGATTGCACCGGCAATGGAGGTCGCTCAGCGTCAGATGGTCAAGACGGCCCGGAAATGCCTCACAAGGACACGAACTCGCCCGGTTCAAATGGACAGGACTCGCCTAGTCTATCTGGAGATTCTGATGGCTCGAATTCGCCTGATCAGGGTGAACCGCAGGCGCCAACTGAGCATCCATATGAAATCGATGCAGCAAACTCAAGACCGGCAGGGAATGGGTGTGCACCAGCAGCAGACAATCAAGATGGATCAGTCATGCATGACCAGCGTGGACCAATCGCGCCGGAAGAGCCTCAGCAGCCGCAACAGTTCGAACAACCTGGGGATCGAGGGAATACAGCAAAGAAGACATCCACAAGAAATGGAAGGTCACCAGCAGCAGACGACCAAGACGCCTTGAGTACGTCCGATGAGGACGATATGCCAATCGAGCAAGGGCGACAAGGCAACCAGATGTACGAAGGCGACATGCCGGACGACGACACTGCTCTCTTCAACAACGACCATGACGACCATGATGGCCCAGATTTCAACTCTCCTGCGCCTCCACGCACGCATCCACACGGTCCTTCACGCTTACCTTTGCAGCCATACCGCGCACAGGCTCAGCGGCATGATTCCGCGCGCGAAACCCAATCCGGAAGCCGAAGCCGCACCACCGCGTCCCCGTCTCCCGTCGCGACTCCTCCAAAGCTCTCCATCAACATCAAAACAATCACGACAGAATTCGCTTCGCCTACATCAACAACAACTAGTTTTCGCCTGGACACGCCGAAATTCCTCTCGCCTGAGCCGCTGCAGCTGGAGAAGGCGGGCGCACAACTGATGGCGCGCACTGGTACGAAGCGCCGTCGCACACCTGCCGGCACCTCCCACCTGCGCCCGCGCGGTACTGGTCACGTGTCCCAGTGGAAGCGCACTCGCGATGATCTCAAAAACGACCATGGTCTGCAGGCTTCTATTGCTCACGATCGCGCCAGCGCTCGCACCTTCTTGGCACTCTTCGCTCCCGTACAGGCGCCTCTCCCGCAGCATCCTCAGGGCCCTATCGTCATGAATGCCGAGATGGACGACGGCAGCACCATCACCACCGCTCTTCTCGCTCCGAAACCTCCGTCTGCTGATGCACGTGATGGAAGTGATGATCACCAACCTCGCTGGCTGCTCGCTCTTCTGGCATCTGATTCCGGCCAGGATCCGCCGACCTTCACCATCACCGTCTACTCCGCTCGAGAAAGTCCCTCCGCAGACCTGGCCGCTCGAGTTCGAAGCATGCCGCTTGCCGCACTCGATCAGAATCAAGCAAACGCGATCGCGAATCTGTCGGACGAGCAAATACACGTCCACCATCTGCCCGCAGTTCATGACCTCCGCGACGATGACGACGACGACTTCATCAAATGCTTGGCCACCAACGTGCTCCTCGTGTCGAACCATGAATCTCCTCCTGCCTCTCTCCCGGACCATCTCTTTCTCTGGGCCTGGATGGGCGCTCTTGCGACGACTACTTCGGACAATCGCTCTCGCATCTCCGAGGTCACCGCGATGGTCGAGCTTCCGGAAGTCGAGATGGCTGGTAGTACCCCATTCCCAGATCATCAGGATGGCAGCAACTGCGTGGAAGACCTCTCTGCTGCTATGACGAGCTGCAAGGCCGATGTTACTGCTCTGAACGGACAGATTGGCATGGTGAAGAAATACGAGGTCCATCTCCGGCTCCTTCGAGACTGCATCGATCGCGCGGCCTCCGAAGGCCCATCGTCTCCTTCCTCTGATGCAGCCTCCTCTTCTGAGCTCGACGTCCATATCGCCGCACTGGAAACCTTGCAGCGAGATCTGCCCGCGCAGGTCTTCGTAAAGGCGGGATATGATGCTACTCTGAAGGGATTGAGGGAGCAGAAGAGAGTCAACAGTAGTCCGAAGGATGAGAGGGCTCTGAAGGAATTGCAGACTTGGATCTACTTGTCCATGGGCGAGGCAGACGGGGAGGTTTGCAGAGGAGAGAAGGTCAAGATGGAGGTGGTGAAGTGCTTGGAGGAACTCGTGGGAGAGCTGCAATCGTGGCTGAAGAGTGTGACGGGATGATGCGTGCGCAAAACATACGAGACCTGTGTGGATCGAGGCTCTTGAGCGGCTTGCAAGCACTGCGAACGAAAACGGCGTCATCTGGAGGTTTTTTGAAGGCATGATACCCATTGACAGATTCAGTCCTGACGAAGGACTTCAATGAGATACGAATAACATACAGCCATTCCAGGCAATCTTGCCCCTTGGAGTTTCTCTTTGATGTTGTACTGGACTTTCCTTGTTGCTGCCTTAGGTGATGGACAATTGACTGCTTCGATTCAAGAGCGAGAATGCAGACCCCGTTGGCGAGCCATCGCTGCAGTACTCGCTGACTACCACGTAGGAGCTGAGTCAGAATGAAAGCGTCTCCGCGCCGGACCAAAGGCATGCGTCTTCGAACAGCTTTAGTGGCCTCGACATATAACATCCACGGTGCGCCTTGTCCAAAGAGCAGATCGCCCGCTGCTGAATGGAGATCGCCACAGCAGATACCTTCAGGTGCTTGTAGGACTTCTGGACAGGCACCGGTAGGTATGGCTTTGCCGTTTTCTTCTCCCTGTCCATGTTTTGTTCAAGGTAGATGAACCACCCACTTTTCTCGCCCGACTTGGTCTCAATAATGGTGGCAGCGACAAACTTTAGCAGACACATGAGCCGACGACATCTTCTTCGTCATTGTCCTCTCTTGTGCCAAATCAGTGGCGGTCTTCCTTTGGACCTGTTCTAGCTGCTGGCTCGATGAGCTCTGCCTCGCTGACGTTATTATCCAAACAAAGGCTGCCTTTCCCCTATTCACGACTCCTGCTACTAATTACAGTATCTATGGGGCATCAAGCTGGTAGTTCTCTCTACAAAGATACAACTTACGTTGGCACACACCGTCTAGCAGATGCAACAGCAAATTTACACATTGGAGAGGGAGTTGATCTCTGTACGCCGTCAGCCCATCCTAGGCACATTCTCCTTCACTAATCTAATTGCTATTCGCACCATCTTGGATCCTTAACGCCCTGCCCAAATGAAGAGCACTGAAAGTACGGTAGCGGGGGTCCAGTATAGCGTGAAAATCTAGCAGTGCCAGGGTGTCAAGCCACTCCAGTCCTAATACACGAACGTAACCGACGCTGCCCGAGAGCTCGTCAGCCAATCCACGGGCGTTGGCTAGTTATGGGCTCGGGGATTATATCTTTCCTAGGGAATTCCAGAGTACGAACTGAACGATTATCAACGTTAGCAGCACGTGCTGTCTGTGAGACCTCGCTATCGCATTCCGTTGTGATGTTAGTAGAGAACTTCCCATCCTCCGGAAGGAGTCCCGACTTCCATACAACTGACCGTCACTGTTAGGACGCATATCTGCAACGACTTCTATACACATCGACAAGCATCGGGCGGTCATGGGCGAGGATCGAAGCTAATCGTATAAAGAGAGGTAAGCAGAGCGGAAAGCGGCGGCAAGAGAGTGCCACTCGATAACGTCTATTAAGTTCGTCGACGAAGAGGACTGCCTCCAGCATGTTTGTGTACTTCATATGTCCTACTTTACCGGATATTAATAAGCAACGTGGCGCTTACCCTGGGCGAATGACAGGTAGTGTTCCTGTTAACGTTCTTTTAGAATAAGTCGAACAGATGGCCCTCGGTTGGCGTGAAATACTTTTCGCAGCAATGTTAACAGGCGAAGATCACCTTTAAGCTCGATGCGGTGAGGACATGTCGCCTTGGAAAGTAATTCCTAAATTACATTATAGCGAATGAAGTGAGGAGATGTGCGAAATGCGGTGGCTGGAGAGGCCGATCCAATGATAACTGACCCAACCTTCCCGGCGGCTCTCCCACGGCACTTTCCCGTAGCGTCGGGACTTCTTCCTTTCTGCAACCTCATCTCTTAACCTCATTTCAGTTCCTTGATCCCCATCGTGCCTACCCGCCCTCGAGCGAACAACTACCAACACCTATCCTGGACTCACCCTTCATTATCCGTCGTAGCTACTTCTCGGAGATTCTGTCTGCGCCAACCACATAAACAGTAATCGAAGACCTCAGTTGCAGTGTGACAGCCGCATGACTTTGCGGAGCCGGGTCTCCGGATTGGACGTGAGAAATTACAGGCCCAGGATGCCTACTCTACAAGCGCTGCATACTGCTCTGCACGGGACTGCACTTTAACATCTGTATCTCATATGGTCAAGACTCCCTAAGGCCGCAACGCTGCCCAAAGCCACACACGTCTATCATCCGGTCATGCTTACGACGACGACGCAAGCTGTTCTCTGCTCCAATTGTACGCACCCGGCCAATCTTCAAACGGCCGCAGGTCACCAGCCTGATCTTCGACAGCGCATCGCTTCGAGAGGCTGACGGTACCCAACGCCGGACACCTCGTAAAAGCTGGGATGATGATCGAATTGAAGCGGTAACAAACATGAACGAGAAGCGAGACTGTCAGTATGGAACTCGACCTAGCTTTCAGGAAGGAATCGCGAGATGCAGGCTTCGGGGCACCCGGATGCAGCCCTTCTGACACGCAACCTCGATATCATGAAGGACAGCTATGACAGTGCCGTTGAGACTCCTCTAGGCATACGTTGCTGCCCCCCGAAGCATGGAACCATCGCGCACGAAGCGTCAATTCATACCGAGCCCTCGAGAGGAAGTGGCGGACCACCATGACACCGTCACGAGCATGCTCTGAGCACAGATCGGTGATATAGCACGGTGCCATCTGTCTAAATGCTGCATTGGATGCGTCCACTGTCAAGAACCCGATGCGATGACCCCCAATGATGCCGCTGCCGCTGCCGCTTTCACTGCCGCGCAAGATTGCGACAGAGAGTCCCCGCGCCAAGCTTTTTTCGAAAGCTGTTCTCACATCTCACATCTGCGGCCGGCGTCGTCTTTCGCAATATCCTCTCACCACATCAAATCTGTCGGACTGTCAGCCGCCCTCATCTCACGCACACGCGCGCGCACCAGGAATGCCGTATTTACGCCCCTCTACCACCGACCGTCGGAGCGCTAGCAACCTTGGCATCACAGCCTCTGTGAACGAACTGCTCGCTGCGGACAAGATTGAGAAAACACAAAAGGCGCATCAGAGAAGAGCGAGGAGATACCGTGAGGAGCTGAAGGAGAGCCTGGCAAGACAAGCGCTCTACGAGGAAGAAGATATTGGCGAGGAGATTGTGGTCGCTCCACGTAGACCGGCTGCTGTCCCGGTCGCTGGCCACGGAGATGCCGCTCGGGCAAGCCGCAACACGGAAGGCCCGCGTGGACACAATGAGAACGACAACGAAGAGCAAGCACTGGGACAGTGGGGAGGACACGAGACTCAGGCGGGTATCGAGGCAGCAAACGCCGGCATAGCGCGCATTCATGCAGGTCAGCTCGCAGCCAGTCACGCGGACGAGGAAGTCGTCAGCCACACTGAAGAGGGCGCAGTCAGCTACCTAGACGAGGGCACAGTCGACGAATGCCTCCTGTGCGGAAATGCGCTCCCAGCTGCGACCTCTCAAGAAGCAACGCCCTTTCGCCCTTGTAACCACTTGGTTCTGTGCAAGCCATGTATGATTGAGTACCTGGCTAATAGGCATCAGCCGGTCAAGAAATGCTGGCGCTGGTAAGTGGAGGGAGAGCTTGTCGAGTAAAGGGAGTATGATTAGCTAACAAAATTGGGCTTCGCAGTTCCAGACATGTTAATTGTGCCTATGTCCCGGTGCGTTCACGAACGCTACGCCTTTCGGAGCAATGGGGGTTTGGTCCTACAGGGGAGTGGATTAGAGCTGTAGAAGCAAGGACTATTAGACTATATTACGGCTTAGAGACAAGGGACACGTAGGACTTATATAGTAGAACTACTCTACTCTATCTACTTACGAGGCAAGCTGTCCTACCTATACTACTTCTATATTATACTACTAGATATACTCTATAAAGGTATATATACTAAGCTACGCTTAATATAGGGACGAATATATCTAAGTGAGTATAGTTTAGATTAGGCGTAGTAGTTATTAATACATTTATTAAGGGACTAGAGGTAGTAGTAGAGCTAGTATCTTTTAGAGAATAGAAATAGACTTAGAAGTATTCTAAAAAGAATAAAAGAAGTAAGAGATATTTAAAGAAATTTAAGGAAGTAAGGAGTATAGTATAAAAGTTACTCTAGGTCTAGATATAATAAGGAACTCTATTATATCTTACTATATATCTAAATAGAATTACTAGTTTGTCTCTAAGTAATTCTAGATATTATTAAAGTATAGAGTAGTTACTAGATACTCTAGGAAGTAGCCTAGCCTACGTATAGTCTATTACTATATATAGCTAGAGTAGGCCTCGACTTCGAGTAATAGTAAGATCGCTTCTAGAGAATAGTAGAGTAAAGCGTATAGTTACTTCTTTAGAGCTTATAGATCTAGCCTATTACTATTTAAGATCTGTTTCTTCTATATCTAGAATTATATTCTAATTAAAAGTTTTCTAGCTAATTAGATCTTCTAGGTAGACTAGGGATTCTACTATTATAGTATAGTAAGTAGCTAAGGTAGTAGCTAAAATAGTAGATAGGTAGGTAGGTAGGTAGGTAGATAGATAGGTAGGTAAGTAAAGAGTAAGTAGTATGAAAAGATACTTATCTCTCTTCTCTCTAGAGAGTAGAAAGGTATCTTTATATTCTCCAGGTATTCTCTAGATATATTCGTAAGCTCTATTATATACTAGGACTATACTTCTCTCTAATATACTTTAGGCATGTTCTCGATTCTATAGTAATCTTATACCTAATAGTAGATTATCTACTAGCTTATTCTAGGTAGGTACTAGATACTTTATTAGGTATATAGTAGTAAGGTCGCCTCTAAGTAGTAGCTAGGTAAAGCTCCCAGCTTATTTTAGAGTAATAGTAGTATAGTTTTACTCTTAGTAGATACTATATACTTAACTAGACTATCTAGTAGTAAGACTTTCCTTTTAGTAGTTATATTAGACCTTTAAAAATGGCTTTACATTATTCTATAGAGACTTCTAGGTAGTATATAAACGCGTAAATCTAGCTAAATAGTAGGTAGGCAAGTAGGACAAGCTATAGTATATAATACTTAGCTAAGGTTAGGAAGCTAAGCTACAATAGAAAGAGAGTACTAGTATTAATACCTTATATATAGACTCTTATTGTTTTTTCTAATAAAGACTACGAGAGCTATAGACTATATACTAGGCGCTATAGTACACTTATACGAGTAAGTAAGTAATACAAATTTAGGCTAAATAAGAATAGCTAGTAGGACGACCGGAATAGTACTACGTAGTACTAATAGAGATATAGAATTTAGTATGACTTTAGATACGTAAATAGTAAGAGGGAGGGTAGTAAGTAACCTCTATTAAGAACATAAAGATATCGTAATGTTCACGCTTATAATAGAGTTCGGCAATATAGCTAGAGGCTGTATATATCTAGACTCTAGATATAAGTAGTAGTCTACTAGCGATAACTTAACTCGAAGAGCTTGCGATTTAGTCTTTTTATATATAGTCTATACGCGTTTAACTACTGTCTTCCTATAAGTTCTAGTATATACTTAGCTAAATTATCTATAAGTAGGTACTACTTATAGGCTATACAGTTTAGGTAGATAGGAATAGCTATTAGTACGCCCGATCTTATACTATATAGTAGTAATCACGCGTCGTACGGATTAGTATGCCTTTAAAGCCTCGCCTAGACTAGTATAAGTAGAGGTAGGAACAAATTCTTTCCTTAGAGGTTAGGTTCGTAATAGGGTTAAGTACAATACCTAGAGATAGAGTAGAATATATGCTTGAATAGGGTCTTAAAGTTTGTATCTATAATAGGGGTTATAGAGACATGTCCTTTCAAAGAGATTAAAGTTAGTATTAGATAGAAGGCAGGTAGGTAGGTAGGTAAGTAAGTAAAAAGTAGATAGGCAGATTAATATTAAAAGATATAAAGTAGTATAGAGCGTAGAAGTGCCGAATAGCAGTGCTATAGCTAGCTATAGAGCGTCTATAGGTCGTAGAAATTGTATAAGAAGTATTATATAATAGAGATCTAATATACTAGCTCACTATCGTAGCTAGTAGCTAAGATAGAAGGTAGGTAGGTAAGTAAGAAAAAGGTAGGTAGGTAAGGGATGGAAAGAGTTACTTGCTTTCTCTTGTAGTGGAGGAATAGGTCTCTATACATCCTCTAGACATCTTCGCAAACTCTATTACTAGCTTACAAGATAGGATGTAGCTAGTTTCTAATGAATTATGTATATACCCTCGATACTTTCATTCCGTAGCCTAGTTACAGACTATTAACTAGGTTGTCCTAGATAGGTACTAGATGCTTTATTAAGTATCTAGTAGTAGGGTCGCTACTAAGCATTATGCTCCCAGCTCTTCTTAGGGCTCTAATAGTATTACAAACACTACTAGATAAGTATCTAAAGCCTTCCAGAATATTACTTACTCTATTACGTAAATATAGGAAGAATTACTTTCCTCTCCTTCTACGTAGGACAGAACAAGGTTTCTATATACTCTTTAGACACCTTTATAGACTCTATCACGTGCTTATAAGTTAAAGTATAGCTTATTTACGATATTTTTCGTGTGTACTCTTAATACTACTACCTTCTTACCTAATCGTAGATGTTTAGTAAGGCTGTTCTAGGTAGGTACAAGATACCTAATTAGGTATCCAGCAATAGGGTCGCCTCTAGACATTAGTAAGGTAACTCTCCTAGCTCCTCTAAGGGCTCTAGTAGTATTCTTATACTAGTAGGAAAATGCTATATACCTAATTAGGCTGTCTAGTAGTAGAATTGCCTTCTTAGTATCTACCTTAGACCTTATATAAAATTCCTTCTATTTTTGTAGTCTCTTATAGGCTTTACTAAGATGTCTAGAGCTACGAGATATCTAGAGTTACTACCTTATTTCTATTTACTATATACTACTTAGATTTAAGAGCTCTTAATAGGATATCTTTAAATATAGCTTATAGCTATTTCACTACTATAGTATAAGTAGTATTAGTTAATACTCGGCTATACTAGCTTCTAGAACCTATTATATTATACCTTTCTAGAGCGAGTAGCCTATATAATTGGATATATCGAATGTATTCTATGTATATATAGTACTATCTAAGCTACTTTACTAACTTTACTTACGAGGATTTGCTTGCCTTCTGATTCTAACTTAGAAGGCCTTCTACTTAAGTACTATAAAGCAGACTATACCTCTAGATATATTACTAATTCCTATTATAAACTTAATCTATCTCCTACGTATACTCTATTCTAGGATCTATATCTACGTATACTTATACTAATCTAGCCTAGTTTGAGAGTATTTATAAAAAGGTATATAGTAGTTTAAGGCGTAGAGAGGCTGAAAAGAAGTCTTATAGCTAGCTATAGAACGTCTATCTAGGTCGTAAAATTTATATAGAATATAGACACTAGTAGAATAGCTAAATAGCGTAGCTAGTAGCTAAATAAGTATATAAGTAGGTAGGGAGGTAGGTAAGTAAAGATAGTAGGTATGTTTATTATAGAGAGAGCAACTAATTAACCGTTGTTCTTATAGAAGGAAAGAGTCTCTATATATTCTCTAGATATATTTATAAGCTATGTTATGCTCTTATTAGTATAGTCTACGCTGGTAATTAATATGTTTTAGGTGTAACTCTAATACGACTACTATATAATCTAATAATAGATCTTAAGCTAGATTACTCTAGGTGGATCAAATATCTAGAAGAGATTCGCCTCTAAGTATTAGCTAGATAGTGCTTCGAGCCCTTTATAGAGCTCTAATAGTACTTTCTACTACTATATAAGGCCTAGAGAATAGATATTAATAGATTATAACTATAGACTAGGAAAAGCAAAAATCTAGACATATTAGTAGACCCTATTATAGCCGTATCTAGTAAGTAGTAACGCAAACACTAAGTAGAGTCTAGAGTTAGATTAGTTTAGAATATTTAATGATAGGTGTACTAATTATAATATAGGAAAGCGACGTTTTAGAGTTTTTCTTAGATATCCAACTTTTCTAAGACAGCGCTAGGCTATTAGCTAGAGGGACTAGGCTATCTATTAGTCTCTAAGGTACTAAAATAGTAGTATCTCTAAGTCTATATAGCCTCTCTATATATTTACTTACGACTAACTTTAGTATAGGTAGTATATAGTATATAGATTTAGAGGTCTATATATAAGGGCTTATACTAGCACTTCCCTCCTACTACTAAGTCTTAGCGTCCTTTACTCTGCTCCCTAAGTAGCGTATAGCTCTCCTGCCTAGCTATAGATATACGCGTATATACGCTACTATTTAGGCCTTTAAGGTATCTCTAAGTATCTATAGTCTCTCTATCTATTTACTTATAACTAACTTTAGTATAGGTAGTATATAGTATATAGAATATATTAAATATTTAGAGAAAGAGCTCTTCTAACTATTAATAAGACCTGAAGAGATCGATACTAGTATTAGTCTAATAGACTAGATATCTAGATATACTAGTATACTCTATTATAGAATGTATTTAGAAGTAGTAGACTAGAAAGGCAGAGTAGTATTACGTTTTACTAATCAGTCG